CAAAAATATAAATTAGGTTAAATTAAAGTTGTTTGATGTCAAATAATGTAGCCTTTATATATACATATAAGACTTTGTACTTAAAAACAAAATGATAAAAAAATTTTGTAGTGTTCTTTTGTATAGTTATATGAAGGACGGAGGTAAAAGAACTGAAAATAAACACATAATCTTCCTGAACAGAAGAATGAATGCCAATTAGAATTCCGTTGCCCAAGACAATCTGGTAACTAAATTACATTTCTAGGAAATGTTACTTGCAGAAAGTTGGTTTCCATGTGGGAGTGCCCTATTCCATATTTATAAGGCTCTTTCTTTACAAAGTGCTTTCACATTTGTATTACTTTCCACACTAAAATAGGAAGGGACAGTGATATTTAGATGAGAACAAAAGAGAAACTCTTGGGATCAGCGAAGGAGCATGACTCAGGGAGGGAAATTCCTGTTGCCTTAAAAGGACTGTTGGTAAATAAAATGTCCTATATATGCCCCTGAAGACTTTCCACGTTCAGCATTTCTACTCCCTCCAAGAAGAGCATCAAGCTGAGGCAGCAGATCCGATCCCCATGAGAGGACTGGGCACGGCTATGGTCCTGGCTGTAGTACTCTGCGCTACAGTCCTCCAAGGTACCTTCCAGCTTATACATTTTTCTCTAATGCTTTAAGTGTCTCTTCCCCCACTTTTATCCTAAAAGATACAGCAACTTTGTATTTAAGCTTAGAAGTTACTACAGCTTTGATAGAGCATGCTGGAAATGTTTAAGGCACTAGAGATAATTATTGAAACTAGAGATGATAAACTCCATGGAATTTTTGATTTGGCTACAAAATTTGGCAAGAGACAGCAATAGTTTCAAATGTCTGTTAAGATGATTTTATATGAGATAATATTATTAGCTTCCTGGAAAATTTCTTGAACATAAAGGAAGAGGCAAATAAGCCTGATCTCCAATAAACTTCTCTCATGCTTCTCTTTATTCTTCAATGGTTTGCTTACAAATCTAAAGAGAATATCATCAATATCTCACTTCGGCTCCTTTCCCAGAGACAGCAGTGTCAAGTGCTATTTGACAAATGACTATATCTTTATCCTTAATGAACACTCTGCTAAGACTCTTCACCAACATTAGAAACCACAGCCATCTGCTGTAATCATATGCATTAGTAATGATCTGTTCTAGGCTTCCCCATGTTCAAGAGGGGACGTTGTCTTTGCATTGGCCCTGGAGTAAAAGCAGTGAGAGTGGCAGACATTGAGAAAGCCACCATAATTTACCCAAGTAACAGCTGCAACAAAATAGAAGTGATGTAAGTAATGGACTTGCTGAAGATGACGACTGGGTTTGGGACTTTTGTGCTTACGTTTTTCCATCCAAAATGTAAGACTGTGTTGAAACTTCCCTTAACAGTATCACCCTGAAAGCACGTAAAGGACAACGCTGCCTAAATCCTAAATCGAAGCAAGCCAAAGTTATAATCAGGTAGATTACCAGATACTTTCCATTTTATAACTCTTGTTTTATCCAAGACATATCTTTTGAAAATATAGACGACCGCAGAAAGATTCTGCTGTTCTTCAGTGTGAAGTGTTTGATAAGGGATCTTTGGTTATAATTAGCTTCCCTTTCCTGCTATCTGCTTTCATATGTCAACTCAATCACTGGGAAGCCACTTATTTATAAAACTGTTTTCTCTTTACAGAAAGTTGAGAGAATGAATTTTTGAAAATATAAAAAGGTACGAAGTCCTGGCAAGAAGATCTGAAAACCCAGAACAAGCTTAACTGTGACTTGCTGAAATGATAAGAATTCTGCAATAGGAAACAGGACTTTCTCCTTCCCGTTGCCATGTATGTTCGGGCATATCTAAGTCAGGGAATCTTCTAGGAAATTTGATGTTCATAACTATTCTGCTGTGACTATAAAAAGGTTTGTCTCAGGGAGCCATCAGGTGAGAAATTGGGGATCAACAGTGGTGAAGCTTAGAACCTCACCCCCCCGTTTTGAGAGAAATCTGCATCCGTGGATGTTTTATTGCCCTTGTCTAGCTTGGATTAACACATAGTCTACAGGCACACACCTGATCATCTACAATTGCTCTCTTACAACANATGGGAGAAATGTGGGATCCACATATAAATCAAGTATAAAAATCAAATGAATATTCATATTTGACCTGATTGTTTACAGTTCATAATGCATGATCAAAACCAAAAGTTTCTGTGATGACTGCCCTTGTACTGTTCACTATGTAAGAATTCGTTCACCATGTAAGAACTTGTTCGTTATGCTTCAGAAGATTGGAGACTGACCAGAATTAGGCTTGAGATGGATTAATGATTGTCCATTGAGCATTGACTCCCCTGTACAGAATTTTATTGTTAACAACCATTTGATCAATAAATATGAGAGATGCCCTCTCAAAAAAAAAGATTTGTCTCTACAAATTATCTGTATTGATCTATATTCCCTATTATAATCTGCAATTAAAATGCAGACATTCACATCATTACTAGAGCCAAGACATTGAGTCAAAAGCATTCATGTATGTAATAAATATTCCTAAATAATTTTTAAAGCAAACCACATCTTTTTTCAAAAATCATATAGCACATATTTAGTAAAAAAGTTTTTGTATACCATCTTGTTTTATAAAAAGTCTTTATTTCATGAAACACAGTATGAAAAAATTGTACACTAAGGGAAATTGGTAAGAGTGTAAATATTTCATAACTAAATCAGTAGTTCTGGTCTTTATTTGATTTTTTAAATAATTATTTAGGTGGTCTGAAATAATTAGGATATGTGTGTTTACTGAGCATTTTGGCTTTATCTATTTACAAAGTATAGCAATATTTTGGACATAAACAAAAAATGTTTTTGTATTGTGAAGAAAAGTGTTGAAAAATAAATTCATGTGCTTATCTGGTAATCACCTTTACTTTCTGTGATTATTTTTCTTAGAAAAATACATGATCTAATCTTTTTTTTTTTTTTTTTAGTCATGCCTGTATTGTAAAATTTCAGGGTAGTTTTACTATCTTAGTAGGATCAAAATCATTTTTTTCTCCTAAACAACTACAACCTTTCTTAAAACAGAAACAATCATGTTTTTTCCAGAAATTTGAGTTACCTTTAAACAATTTTACCTTGTATTTCAAGATACATACAGCTATCTGTCATCATATGGAATTGTTTAGAAATATATTTTAATGGATAGTTGTGAAAGACATTTTTTTTTAAGGGGTCTTCCTAGGTCCAAACCCCCTTACTTGGGGTAAATTCCTTATTACGTGAATCTTGGTGAAAGGTCAAAAAAAGGGAGAAACCAAAGGAAGGAGATCCTCCCTGGCAGCAAGGACAAGGCCTCATACACAGCACTCCCACAGTCTGAACTCCAGCTAACACCACAAAGATGCTGTCAGTAAGAAAGTTACGTAAAGAAGCAGTAGTAGCACGTCTTTCCACAGTGGCTTCCTGGCACATGTTCCTATAGCATGACTTTGGCTAGTCCTTTCTGCCTCCTACGTCCCTTAGGTTTGGTTCACTTTCCAACCTGAGTCTTCAATCTTCCTGTGGATTCTTCAACTACCAATTAAATTCCTTCTCTGTTGGAGCTAGCCAGAGTTGGTTTTTCTGAAAGTAACCAAAAACCTTAGCTGATACGGCACTCTTTATATAGACAACTATAGATTTGAAAAATGAAAATATTTATTACAGAATTACCAAAAAATAATCAGGTATCTCTGTTTGAAAAGCAAAAGAACAATTTTAATATATCTTTTGTGTATCCCTCCCATTGATATCAAAGAGCCAATCATAAAGCAGATCAGAGAATGGATAGAAATTTAAATAGCAGAGTAGGGTGGGTACCTAGAATTTAACAGGCCCTCTACTGACTTTTTTGACTGGTGCCTATAAGCAATAATGAGAAGTCAAAACATTATCCAGAGGACTGTACATAAATCTATATAATCTATATCATGTATTTATATTATGATGTATCAGTATCTGGTATAAACACATATATAAAATATAAATATATTATGGAATCATAACATAAATCTAGTATATGATATACAGTATATACTACATGCAATATATATAAGTATAAATACATGTTATACATATTATAAATCTATATAAATTTCTATATTGAAATGGGACTTCCATACAAGTTCCCAGGATAGATTTAAGACCTGGCTCATTGTTGGGTTTTTTTAGAATATCTTTTAAAAAAAATTACTGAATTAGGGCTACATGATAAATTTGGTATTTTTTTAAAGTAAAGTAATAAAAAGTATGTCACTATTAAGAAAATAATATATACTTATATTTCTTTCAAGTAAAATTTAATTTTAAAACATAGAAAAATAAACATATGAAAGAATTAACATACTTGAGTCAAGATCCTTTCCACTTCAGTTTCTTTGCACATACTATTCCCTCTGGTCATTTCTTCACCAAGCTAATACTGGTCATTTAGATCTCATCTTAAATGACATTTTCTTCAAGAGGTCATTTTTGAAACTACCCCTGCATCTCAACTAGATTAGGTGTCCCTAATTATTTGTCTTCATAACACTATTTTTCTATCACACTATTTATTGTAATTGTAACTATATAATCATTCCTCTGCTTTTCTGCTCTCCCGCAAGTGTAAGCTCAGTAAGAAAGCTATTCTAGTCCTAGCCCACATTACAGGGCCTGGCACATACAGGATCCTCAATAAACATTCAAGAATAGAATGACTGAATGGTAATACAAATTAAGGGGAAAGGAATTTTCAGCAAAGGAATAGCCTGATGAAATGCAGTGTTTAGAAAATAAAAAATTGGTCATAGGAGTGATGCATGTAGGTCATCAAATGTCTAGCTAAACAAACTTGAATTTTATTCTCAATAAAATGGAGATTCATTAGTGAACAAGAGAATGACTCTATCCAAGTTATTTTAAATTGTTCTGGGAGTGGCACAGAAGGTTGACTGGAATTGGGGAAGAATGGGGAAGAGAATATACTGCCATAGCTCAGGTATGTTATTTCCCAAACTTGAAGTCATTTGCATAACACCTTCACAATATTTTACCATATTTCTGATCAATGTTCATTATATTTTTCAAATTCTGTGTACCATCTTTATTTTGCTTACTTTTACATTAAAAGCAAACTTTAGCTAGCTTATGTATGAAATCAGTATCTCCTGCTATAGAAATAAAATATAATAATAAAAATAAATACAATGAAAAAATTCTAAATTCCAGCTAAATACTACTGTATGTCAAAGGTTCTGAGCCTCTGACCTACTCTGTATTTGTTAGAAGGGATATTAACACAGTTGGTAAGGTTCTTGAAATCCATGCTAATACCAGACTCCACAATTTAATCAGAGGGATTAAAGTTAAAAAGAGAATAATATATTAAATGTTATCAGGGAGCCCCCTGATATTGTCTCACACTTTGGGAACTATCTGTCTGAAAAGTTATAAAAGCAATAAATTAAACAGAATTACCATATGACCCAGCAATTTCACTCCTAGGTATATACACAAAGGAAGTGAGAAGAGTTGTTCAAACAAAAACTTGTACAGAATGTTCACACTATTCACGACAGCCAAAAGACAAAAACACCCAAATGTCCATCAACAGATAAATGGATAAATAAAACATAGTGTATACACATAATGGAATGTTATTCAGTTATAAAAAGGAATGAAATACTGATGCATACAACATGAATGAACCCTGAAAACATTAAGCTAAGTAAAGGAAGTCAGACACAAAAGGCAACATATTTTATGGTTCCATTTACAGGAAATATCCAGAATAGGCAAATACATAGAAACACAATGAAAATTAGTTGTCAGGGGCTTGGGGAAGGAGGTGGTAATGAGGAGTGCCTGGTTATGGGTACAGAGTTTCTGGATGGAGTGATGAAAAAGTTTTGGAACTAGGTGATAGTGATGATTATATAACATTGTGAATGTACTTAATGCCACTGAAGAATAGGCTAAATGGTTTTAAATGGTTAAAATGGTAACTTTTATGTTACATGTATTTTACCACAATATGAAAACACTAAGGGCTAAATTAAGGTGGTAATTGGTGACAACAGAAATATGAGATTACACTGCAAAAAGAGAATCAGTAAGATTTAGTGACAGATTGGATTTGAAGGTTGAAGCCAAGAAAAGGCACCAAGGAAAATGCTAAGTGAATTAATCTGAAGTGGAGGCACAAAAGGGAATCAAGAAAAGCTGAAGATTTTATATGAGATAATATTATTAGCTTCCTGGAAAATTTCTTGAACATAAAGGAAGAGGCAAATAAGCCTGATCTCCAATAAACTTCTCTCATGCTTCTCTTTATTCTTCAATGGTTTGCTTACAAATCTAAAGAGAATATCATCAATATCTCACTTCGGCTCCTTTCCCAGAGACAGCAGTGTCAAGTGCTATTTGACAAATGACTATATCTTTATCCTTAATGAACACTCTGCTAAGACTCTTCACCAACATTAGAAACCACAGCCATCTGCTGTAATCACATGCATTAGTAATGATCTGTTCTAGGCTTCCCCATGTTCAAGAGGGGACGTTGTCTTTGCATTGGCCCTGGAGTAAAAGCAGTGAGAGTGGCAGACATTGAGAAAGCCACCATAATTTACCCAAGTAACAGCTGCAACAAAATAGAAGTGATGTAAGTAATGGACTTGCTGAAGATGACGACTGGGTTTGGGACTTTTGTGCTTACGTTTTTCCATCCAAAATGTAAGACTGTGTTGAAACTTCCCTTAACAGTATCACCCTGAAAGCACGTAAAGGACAACGCTGCCTAAATCCTAAATCGAAGCAAGCCAAAGTTATAATCAGGTAGATTACCAGATACTTTCCATTTTATAACTCTTGTTTTATCCAAGACATATCTTTTGAAAATATAGACGACCGCAGAAAGATTCTGCTGTTCTTCAGTGTGAAGTGTTTGATAAGGGATCTTTGGTTATAATTAGCTTCCCTTTCCTGCTATCTGCTTTCATATGTCAACTCAATCACTGGGAAGCCACTTATTTATAAAACTGTTTTCTCTTTACAGAAAGTTGAGAGAATGAATTTTTGAAAATATAAAAAGGTACGAAGTCCTGGCAAGAAGATCTGAAAACCCAGAACAAGCTTAACTGTGACTTGCTGAAATGATAAGAATTCTGCAATAGGAAACAGGACTTTCTCCTTCCCGTTGCCATGTATGTTCGGGCATATCTAAGTCAGGGAATCTTCTAGGAAATTTGATGTTCATAACTATTCTGCTGTGACTATAAAAAGGTTTGTCTCAGGGAGCCATCAGGTGAGAAATTGGGGATCAACAGTGGTGA